GCCAGTAAATAGACCCCAAAATACCATACAAGTTATTTGATATTATGTGATACGTTAGAACAACATGCTAGTACTAAGATAGGGATCCTCAGGAATCGTATGATAGAATTGCCTGATCTTTGATGCCTTATCTTATGTAGAGCACCTCATTGATTGTTGTATGACTCTTTCGTGTGTGAATTAACTATTGGGTGAATACTCCAAGTCACATGCTACATGGGTTAAATGATCTTAGGGTAAAGGATTTGGTCCTGCTGCGCAACTCTTGTCTGATTCCAACCATTGTGGGATTAAATCTTTTAGTCTAAGGTTGTTTAAGCCGTGCGCTATGTGATTGTATTCATGCAATAGTTAACGGGCACTAATGGAGGGTCGTGTGGCAGTTGGTGGATGGGTGGGTAGTGAGAGGCCAAGAGGCCAGTTATGATATATTTTAGCATTCCTCTAGGAGTGAGGATTGAAAATCTAATTGGGCCTTGTGCAGCTGCCCACGTTGCCCCCTCAACGCCCCCCATGATGACATGCAATGACCACGCAATGTGTGGTGTGATTGAGTGTATGATCGATTGATTGATTCATGGCATAAAGAGTTTGAATGGGTTGTTTGTTTGACCAAGTTTTGACTGATGTTGATAGATGAAAGGAACTTGTATACATGTTTTTTCCTTAGAGTTTTTATTTTTTTAGGTTATGAGGCTTGACTTGAATGTATACTGTATAGTATAGTGGTTGTGTTTCTTGTAAGGTTAAAGAATGTGGAAACAAGTGAATGAAAGAGTGGGAAGATTATTTAACTCATTGTTATGATCAAGTTTAATTTATCAAACATGTGGTCATGCCAAGAAAGACTTGTAAGTAACATCTTAAAGTTGTAGAAAAAGAAAAACTTATATCACAAAGGTATTTGATGAACTGTGTGGTTACTTTAATTTTCAGAATTTATTTTGTTTTGTAAAACATTTTGCAAAATCTTCTAAGTCTAGGAAACTGGGTTTAAAGTTTAGAATCTTGTATCTTATACAGTTAGATGTTGAATTAAACTTATACGATTAGTTTTTTTAACAGAAAAACTAATCTTATATGTTGAATTAATCTCTATCTATTATGTCATTCATGAATATCTTTTTGTCTCTTGAATTTTTTCTTGGAGATGGTGAAAATGTCCAAGAAGGTTCACATGTGTGATATAGCAATGATGGAAGGAGTGGAGATAAAAGAATTTTAGGGGTTTTGGTTTTGTAAATGTTGAATCCAATTCAGTTTTTACCAAAAGCTATCAACTAAATCGTTTGGTTTCAATGTTTTAAGATTTAACCAAACCAAATGGATCTAAACCTAACATATATAGAAAGAGACTTATATGTTTCAATTTAGTTAAATTGTCTAGTTTCAATGTTTTTAACCTAACCAAATAGAATTAGACTGCCATAAACTCATCAAATCAACTAATTGTTTATCATGCCGCCAGGAGTTTGAAAGTTCAAATTACGTCAAATTTTTGTTTGATTTACGATTACAAATAATAAGCTACTTGTTTGTTTGTATTTAATTCTAATATTAAAAGAGACGTGTATTAAAGGTTGGGCAAGATCCAAACAAGTATTTTGTCATGCGTGCAATGTGAGAGAAGACCTACGAACAAGTAGACGATTTCAAAGGGATGCCATTTTTAAGTTTTTTTTATATAACTATCAGAGTAAACTAGGCGTAGCCACTCACAACTAAGGTGGGTCCTAGGACCTAGCTAATTTCTTAAATTTATATAGTATTTGTATAGAAAAAAAATTAGAAATCATCTTTAAAAAAAATTAGGACCTATCTAATACTATTCGACAAAACCTATCGTACATCGGAGATAAAGAGAGAATTAAAGTTGTTTGATGTTATAAAAATAAATTATGAATGGTTATTAGGAAATTTAAAAAACAATACAACTCATCTTATATTGTTGGTTATATAAAATGGTTGTTGCAAATGAACTTTTTAAAAAGAAAAGAGACTCAGTCGTACAAAGTAGTTTTTTTTTTTTTTTTTTTTTTGCAAAAATTGGGTTAAATAGACCAATTTTACTAGTTTTTAGTTGTTCTATCGTCCGGTTGAACTCGAGTTTTTACAAATTGGTCGTTTTTTTATTGGTTCGACCCGACCCGATCTGTCACATATAGCGTTGACTCTTTGGTTTTTCCGCCTTCATTTGATTAGGAACCACATATTATTCTATTCTAGATTCGCCACTGGAATACACACAAAAAGATAAAAATCGTTAGCATTTACATATCATAGGTTGAGTTTTTTTTTTTTTGAAATTTTTTTTCATATAACAAGCTTGATCCAAAAGTCTATGTCTTGTAAAAGACTATGATCAGGAGAGATGTCAACAGAGACAAACAGGACGGGGATTTCATCCCCCGCCTCCACTCCCGAAATTTTCCTCATTCTTCCGCCCCTGAAATTTTCAGCCCCCCCACCCCCGCCCCTGTTTCCCTGCCTTCGATTGATTTTGGAATATTTTTTATTGTGTTAAACGAAGTTACTAAAAATGTTATCACATTTTAAAAACGTTATACTAACAACTTAAAACGGAGGTTCGGAACGGGACTGCCTACCCCGTCCCCGCCCCCAAAATTAAAACGGAGATTAACCTTGTTCCCACCCCGGTTTTTTCAACAAATATCCCCCCATATATGATCGAGGCCCACAAGACTTTTTGACATATTTAATGATCAGTTGATCAGTCCACGTAGCTTTACTATTACAAGGTATAAATCAAAGTATTAACATAAAACGAATCGGTTCTAATAGGTACGGAAATAATATAATGGTTTCTTGACTATTCACGTATAATGGGTTGGATTTTTATTAACATTTTACTTAAAACTATTGTCATAAAACATTTTTATTAAAAACATTCACATAACATAATTAATCAATTCATGCCGTTCCATATGGGTCGAAATCAATATATGAAATTCTAGACCAAAAGACTTTTCAATAAGAATTTTAATTTGAAGAATGAGACAATTTATTAAAGACTCATATGTAGAAATTTCTTCTTACTTATTTGACGGGTAAGTGTACATTGTGCTACTAAATAAAATAAGCTTTAAGTATTATACATGAAAGTGTAAAATAAATACAATATATTTTTTTATTATTGTACCAAATCATCAAAAATCCAACAAACTTTAACATAAATTTTGACATAGATATAACAACTTTTATCATTTTATGTAACAAGCTACATAAGATGGTAAACAAAATGGTAAGCTTATTAATGAAATGGTAAAAAGTTGTATTTTATTATACTAAATAATAATAAAAGAATTCATTAACTAAAAAATACTTTGTATTTCTTTTACAATTTACTCACCACTTACCATAAAATATATCTTTGGGATTTTTTAATATGTGCGGAAAAATACATATAACAAGCATTAATTATCATAAATATTATTATAGTTAAATATGAATTTCATTTATTATAAAGAATACTGTCATAATTAAATATGAAATATATTAATAATCTCCATAATAAATATATTTAATATTTAATTAGGATAATATTTATGTTAATGTTTCATATACATATTAAAAAATCTCATATATCTTTGACCTTTATACATCATGTTTTAACCATTATTCGCCCATTCGTCCTATTTTCCAACGTGATTTGTGGTTCCATTATATATATGGTTGGTTGGATATCAACTAAATATATCAAAACCAAAGCAATGGCAACAATGCTCCTACTACTTGGCTTACTTATAAGTCTTCTCGTATCCATAGGTTTCTCTTTCTTTTCGTTACATTTCACCAATATGATTTACATTATCCATATTTGTTTTATGTTTTATGCTATATCATTCGTATCATTTCTAAATAAATATTATTCCTGTTTTCTAACATGTTCAAAAATATCCGCACCGGATGGGTTTATTAGGGGTGGCAATTGATGACATGACACGACAAAAATACACGAAACGAAACGAAATTGAGACGAAACTGTAATTCGAATTCGTGTTCGTGTCATGTTCGTGTCAAGTGTAAAAAACACGACGTCGTGTCGTGTCGTGTTCGTGTTCAAAATTTGACACGAAATTGACACGATTTAGCATTTTGTGTGTCGTGTTATATATGATTAAGTATTAATTAAATAAACTAATTTTTATTTTAATTTATCTTTTTCGTGTCGTGTTGTGTTTATCGTTTTTTAATTGGTTTGTTTTCGTGTTAGTTAAAAAAAGCACGACATCATGTCGTGTCGTGTTACTTAAAATTTGTCGTGTCGTGTCGTGTCAGACAAAAACACGACACGGTGACCCGATTTGTCACCCCTAGGGTTTATGATAGTAATTGCACATATTTTTGGGTATTTGCAGTATTCGAAAATTCTTTTTATTAATGGCGGATCATCCAAATAATGAAACATGGTATTCAAACACGAACCAACTGATCAATTATCTTTTTTCAGTGTTTTATTCCCAGTTGATCCCTTTGAAATTTCTAAATATGTGTTTTTAAAATTTAATTTTGTAATTTGTCCATAAAATTTTATTTTTCAAAATATTAGATAAAACAGTGAGTGTATATACTTTTATTTCATTATATGTACGCACTCGTAGTGTCAAAGAAATATTGGTGCAGATTGTTAACTTACAATTTCCAATATACGATTAGGATAAAAACCAGTAACAGATTTCGGTATTTAAGATTAACATCTAAAGTTCTAAATATCCAACTTTAAACACTATATTTGTAGGTAAATACAAATGTGGCCCTAAGAATTTACGTCTTTTACGAGAAAGATGAATCATATTTAAAATATTTTATTTTTACAGATGCGCAATCTGTCGGTGTGTGTTACGGTAGAAACGGCGACGGTTTGCCGTCACAACAAGACGCGGTGAACCTCTACCCGGAGCAACGGCATAACCAGAATGCGAATTTATGATCCAGATCAAGCTACTCTTCAAGCCCTAAAAGGAACCAATATCGAACTCATGATCGGCGTTCCTAACGATGCTCTACAATCCCTCAACGATCAAGGCGCTGCAAACACATGGGTAAGAAACAACATCCAAAATTACCCCGACGTCAGTTTTAGATACATCGCCGTCGGAAACGAAGTCGATCCAAACAACGGGAATAGTCAATACGTTAACTTCGTACTCCAAGCAATGAGGAATGTTCAGAACGCCATTAACGCCGCTGGCCTGCAGAACCAAATCAAAGTGTCGACTGCAACCTACACCGGTTTGTTAGGCGTCTCCTTTCCACCAAGCGATGGTGCCTTTAAAGACAATGTTCGGGGGTTTATTCAGCCGATAATCGGATTTCTAACGGAAAACAATTCGCCGATGCTTGCCAACATCTACCCCTTCTTTTCCGACCCTAATTCCAATCTCCCGTATGCGTTGTTTACGGCGCCGGGAACGGTTGTGACTGATAACAATAATGGTCTACAATACTCTAACCTTTTTGACGCCATATTAGATGCTCACTATGCAGCTCAAGCACGTCTTGGTGGGGGGAATGTGGAGATTGTTGTATCAGAGAGTGGTTGGCCAACAGCAGGAAAAGATGTAGCGACGACAGAGAATGCTAGAACTTACAATAACAACTTGATTAGACATGTCAGAGGGACAACAGGGACACCGGCGAAGCCTGGAAGATCTATAGAGACGTATTTGTTTGCAATGTTCGATGAAAACAGGAAACCTGGTGAAGAGTCGGAGAAACATTTTGGGATTTTCTCCCCAAATCAACAACCCAAATATCCATTGAGCTTCAATTAGGGAAAAGTAAAACCGTGATTTTCGAAGCTTTGAAGGATATTGTTTTACATACATGAAATAAAGTGGTCTTCCACTGCATAATAAAGTGTGATGAAATAAAAATGGTTAATTATCTTTGTTATTGTTTTGAAATGGAGTTTAAATCTATGTATATGAATAGGGACCGACTTTTGTTGTATACAACATCTAAATAAATACTTTTTTTTATATATATTTATGTTCGAACCAAAACCCTAAACCCTCTAATCTACTTCATAACCAATTTGGCAAAAGAAAATGGATTTTTCGACTTCCCACCACGACATTATCGTGAGGTTCAATAGAGAATCATTATTAATCATGAAACCAATCTTTTTTTCAACTTTTAGAGTTTATTTTTTATTAAAAAAAATAATAATAATACAGAAATTCATAACTTTTTATCATTTTTCCAATGATATCAAATTCGATAATAAAAACTATTATTTTTTCGTCAAATTCACAGTGTAAATCTATGCAAATTCACAATGTGAATTTGAAATCACACGGTAAATCCGAAAAATATATTTAGCATTCACAATGTGAAGTTATGAATTTAGATATTTTTAGGGTTTTTTTTCGATAAAGAATAAGCTCTAATACTTGAAAAAATATTTAGTTTCTTGAAGAACCATTGTGGTTCTCTATTGAATTTTTCCCAAACTCTCTCTCTCTCTCTCTCTCTATATATATATATATATATATATATATATATATATATATATATATATCACAAAACACACCAAACCAAACCATACCTGATGTTATATTTTATTATTTTTTAACTTTTGCAATGCGGTTTATTGTTTGCAACCACTATATTGCACGGTTAGTAGTTTTAACTCCAAACTGCACCACGAACACCGGATTTATTGAAAATAATATGTTTCAATTCAATCTTAACCTTTGTAATGTGTCGAACTATTATTGTGTTCTACTTTGTAATTTGAAATGCTGATAGTGCAGGCAAATATTTCATACTTTCATGTATGATAATGGGCTGGACCTGCAATTGGGCTGAGGGTTAAAGTGGTAAAGGCCGAAGGTTAAGGGACTTCAAGTCATCAAGTGTAACTAAGGGAAGATTGTGATAATGCGATTGAAGGTGAAAATCCGATTCAATTATACCAAAACCGATCGATTAAATCATTTGGTTTTAATGTTTTAACCAAACCGAATCAGGGCAACATGAGCTTTTAGTTTTTATCTTTGAAGAAAAAAAATTAAAATTAAAACCAAAAAAAATATTCGTTTGATATTAGAAGTTTTTTAGTTTTTATTTTAAATAAAAAACTTTGAATTCAAAAGTTAATACAAATAACTTTTGTGACCTTTTAGTTTTAAATTAATTTACATATAAAAGCTAATAACTATTTTTGTCAAATACTTGCACGTAATACAAGTTACAACTTTCAGCATTCAGCTTTATACACCAGCTAGTTTGTCAAACACGCCACATATCGATAAAAATATGACATAAATATACTTAAATATTTAAGTTCAATTCATTTTGTACCATAAATTAACAGGTTTTTGACATGAAAGCCCTTATGCATGTCATGTTTTTGTCGGTTTTATCTCTATCACAATTTCTTTTTCGTTAATGTCCAAAGTTTGTCAAGTTTTTTTTCTCTTCTTACTTGTAATCATAGGTTTCCAAATTACCATGAAATAAGAGTTTCAAAAAAACCCTTAAGGTTACAAATCTTTTTATGCTCTTACCCTAAGTATGTTTTGTTTTCATATTATATGTATTTATGTAAAAAAAAGAAAATCATATTTATACACTAAAAAATTAACTAAACATCGTATAAAGAGGTTTTTAAGGAGTATAAATATGTATTTCTATGTAAAAATACATATTTAAAAAAGAAATATAAATACATATTTATACTTCTAAAAAAATGTGATTATACTTTTAAAAAACATAAAATATGTATTTATGACTCTATATATATTTACATATTTATGTTTCTTAGTAGTATAAATATGTATTTTTTTTCTTTATAGAAATATAAATACATAATTTGTATTTAGAAGTATAGATATATTTTTAGAAACATAAGTATGCATTTTTATATTTTTTAGAATTATAATTATATTTTTAGAACTATAAATACATATGTATACTTCTATAGAAGTACACATATGTATTTTTATTTTTTTAGAAGTATAAAAGTACAATTTTGTGTTTATTTTTTTTCATTTTTATAAGTATGACTACATGTTTTATATATAAACATGCTTTTAATTGAGATACTTCTACTTAAGTACAAATATGTATCTATATTTCTAAAAAGTATATTAATATTTCTAAAAAATATCACGGTTTTGATTGATATATTTTTCTGTAAAAATATATATATATTTATACTTTCAAAAAAAATATATTATTATTTCTAAAAAAATCTATATATTTCTAAAAAACCATAAATGCATATGTATACTCCTAAAAAATCATATATATATATATATATATATATAATATATATATATATATATATATATATATATATATTATAATATATATATATATTAAACTTTTTTCATATATAAATATGCTTTTTCTGTATTAATACGTATAATATGAAGAAAAAAAAATTTATTTTAGGGTAAAAACATAAAAATCTTATAAATTAAGAATTATGTTTTTTTTTTTAATTTATTTCATTGTAATCTGGAAACTTTTTATTACAGGTAACAAGACAACAAAAATAATAAATAAAAGTAAAAACTTTCCAAACTTTAGGCAATACCGAACAAGAAATCATCACATAAACAAACCCAATGTTTTAAAAACCGGTTTGAACCGACCGGTCGAACCGGTTGGACCGGAAACCACGGAAGGGAGCGGTTTAACTATCACCGGTTTTATGTTTATTTCTGAACCGGATCGAACCGGCCGGTTTTTACAAAAATTCGGTTGAACCGGTTAAATTGAATAAAAACACATGGAATTGAAACATTTTGCATAATATACTTTGGTAGTTTTTCACATTTATTAAGATTTTTCTGAATAAAAAAATATGATAAATGTTATGAAGTTTTTTTATGCCTTTATATTCATCTAGGACTTTATTTTTCTTTTTAATACACGTGGATTGATGTAAAACTTATGGTTATGTGTTATTTTAATGTATTTAGATTGATCTACACTTTATTTTCATATGTATTTTAATATTCGAACTTGTGGACATCAAATTTTTGATTTGTGTATGTATGTATGTATGTATATGAAAACACGAAAAAAATATGAAAATTATAGAAACCAATTTACTCAGCGGTCGAACCGGTTAAACCGAAAACCGATCACCATACCGGTTCAACTAAAAAACCGGTTTTTAAAACATTGAACAAACCTATAAAATTTGACAAACCTAAAGAACTTAAATTGTCAACTAAATTGTCTTGTTTATGTGTTTTTAACCTAACCAAATTGAATTAGTGCGCCATTAACTCATCGAATCAAATGATAACGTATTTGTTTATCATGTCGCTGGGAATTTGAAAGTTCAATTCAGGTCGAAATTTTTGTTTGATTTAGAAATAAGACTGCTACATGTTTGTCTGTATTTCTTCATATGAAAGCGACATATTTTGAGAATTAAGCAAGATCCAAATAAGTATTTAGTCATCGTTCACGTGCGAGAAGAATAACGAACAACTTGTAGATTTTAAAGGGATGCTAATTTTGTATGATTATTAGAAAACTAGGTGTAAGATCCATGTATTACATGGGTTCATTTAAAAAAAATATATGAAAATTCTAAACATTTGAAAAGGTTTGAATTTATAAAAAAAATTAGAAAAATATTGAATTAATAAAATTAAAGTTCCATGTATTACATGGGTTCATTTAAAAAAAATATATGGAAATTCTAAACATTTGAAAAAGTTTGAATTTATAAAAAAAATTAGAAAAATATGGAATTAATAAAATTAAAGTGTTTTTTTCTTTTTTAAATTTAAACAATTAATTTAGATAAATAAACAAAGAAAACTAATGAAGTTTTAATTTAGAAATATTCAAATTAAAAGGAAAGTCAATTATTGAAATTGATATGTATTTATGATTACATTTATTTCAATTATTACATTTTAATATTATGTAGAGTTTAATAAAATGGAAAAAACTACAAAATGCCTTATGAAAAAAATTTAATTGAAAATAACCACAAAATAACATGTGGCCAAATCTATGAGAGTGTGATATGTAGCAAAAAGATTTTCATTTATTAGACTAGATTATTTTTTTTCTAAATGGACAAGTTTTCATTTTCAATCCTTTGATGAAAAATAGGTCGACATAAGGTCATATCCAATGAATTAATCTGTTTTTTAATTAATACCTTTATCCTCTTTATTTCAATGTTTATAAAAGTCATTCACCTATTTGTCATTTTAAACACTATTTATATTTTTCAAATTAGCATTATTTTACATTAGTTATATAGTGTTTATAAATATATTTTATTTGTTTATTTTATTTTTGTATACTTAATAAAATAAGTTAACTAATCAAAAAATAATAAACATTAAATATGTAAATATAAATGGCGGTTTAAAATAAAATATTATCAACTGCACGACGCAAAATATTCAAAAGAATAATTAATTGAAGTTTGCTAAGACTTTGAACTAACCCTCTATAAAATAATAATAATAATAATAATAATAATAATAATAATAACACATTTCATTTTTTTTCCTGCAACCTCACCATCTCATTTTCTTTTTATTATACTATCATTTTTCTAAATCCGAGAAATTATCATATTTCATTTCATCTTTTTTTGTTAAACTAAAATTTCTATGATTTAAAATGCTAAAATCTATAAATAATTAAACTTAATTAAAAGATTGTTAAAAAAATCAAAATTGATAAAAATGCAAATATTTCATTACCTACAAAAAAAACAAATAGTTGAAAAAATAACACATGAAAGTAAAACATAAAACAAATTAAAATAAAAACGAAACTA